GGGAGCGTGCTGGCGTTGTGGGCGAGTTATTGTTAGCCGCTGGGGTTAATATCACAGTCACAACGGACGTGTTGTCCGCCCGCATCTTCTTGGCGGCCCAGGTTTTGAGGGCCTGATCCACCAGCGCCTTGCTGGGATTCATGACGTCCTGTTCGTTGAGTATCTCGCCGATTAGATGCTCCTTGCGCACACTGTCCACCGCCTCCTGGGCGGTCACCACATTCCATAGGCCATCGGTGCCGAAGATTAAACATCTGCAGGGAAATTGATTCAAATTCAATATTAAGAAGTCCACCAGTGTAGCTCATATCGGAAATACTTACCTAAAGGTACTGGGATTGATCTTAACCACTTTGACATCCGGATCGGGACTCACAACGAACTCCTTGAAGCGGGAATTGTAGCTCCAGAGATCGCCCAAGGAACGAGCCACTGCCAAAAAGGGTATATCATCCACCACAGTTCTACGGCGAATGGGACCGCGATGCATTGGATCCCTGGGTCGGTTCCACACCACTCGCGGAACTCCAGATTTGATGGCCACATTGCCACCGGCTCGCTGGATTCTCGTCTTCTCTGCCAGTGACTCAGGCTTGTGGTCCGTGGTCAGTGGACGAGCGCGCCAGTTGCGTTCGCCTTTGTTCTGGTAACCCAAAACGATCCCAGAATCACCCACATGACCGATGTAGATCTTCTCCCGACGCATGAAGGCCACTGTGGCGGTGGTGCCGGCAGTGCTCAGGTGCCCATTGGCAGTTCGGGGCCAATTCTCTGTGGGATCGCGAATGGGGAATACCAGATTATAGGATTTTCTATAATTCCAACTTAACTTATACGTATTAGGAATTAATTTCGAAGGTGTTTTTGTTAAGATTTGATGTGGAAACTACCAGAAAATTAAAACAGAAAACCTGAAATGCACCCCTTCATGAAATAATATAACAAACATAGAGTAACGAAGAAAAAATGCTAAGTGTCAAACAAAACAATCCCAAATCGCGTTTGATTTGATGACTCCGGGATTTTCCCAAACAAACAAAAAGCATATTCAAAAGTAAAAGCTAAATATCTGTGTCGCAAGACCAATTTCTACTTATATATTTAATGAGGCAGTGAGTAATGGCATTTAAACAGCCGCTTTACATTCTGAAAGCAGTTGAAAAAATCATTTTCCCAAGGCCCTTGGATTTCTGGCGCTAAACTGAATATTTCGGAATATCGAAAACGACGAATATTGATATTTCCCACACAGATACACACCAACAAACGTGTATCTGCGTTTCTGGCATCCCTTGAATTTCTGTGTACGTTGTGTTTGTTAAGCGAAGAGGAAATGGGCACACATTTATTTTCATTTCTCTTTCCCACCACTCGCTCTCTCAATCGCTCCATCTCTTTCGTTCTCGCATTTCGAAACGCCTTGGTGGACTCGCGCCGCCATACGGTTGTCCCGCTCTAACTCACAGTGGGGTTGCCATGCTTGGCGAGAGTACAGCCATATGGCAAGCCCATGGAATATTCCACTCGCGATAACTAAGCATGTGTGCGTGTGTGCATCAGTATCTGTATCTGCTGTACTTGTATCTTTTTAGTGTGGGCTGACAATAGAGATGAGCAATTGAGCGATGGTTGAGTCATCGCCACGCACGGTTGCATAATTACCTAGAGATGGGAGACCCAGGGGAGCAGCTCGGGACTTGGGGTCACTTTTTTTATTGTGGGGGGTCGAAACGGCAACCCTGACAACGGGGACTTACGCGATTTGAATACCGCCAACTGGCAGTTATATCATTTTTCGCGCATCTCTAACGGTCGCTTGGCATTGGCAACAATTTGGAAATGAAATTGAATGAGAGAAGGCAAAAATACAATATATTATATTCTCTTTGTATATTGCTTAAAATTGATATGCCAATACTGTGCACACGCCCAACCAACTGACGTTCTTTGGGTTCCCCCAACATTAAGATAGCTAAAGTTCGCAGCTATTTCGTGCTCACCTTGCTCGCGCCACATGGCGAAATGTGTGGCGATGTATCCTTCGCGTATGGCCCGCAGGACATCCTCATCCTCATCTGACCAGAACTGCTTCTGCTTGACAATCTCGAGCATGAGGTGCTCCTTGGCGAAGAGCGCCGCCTCGGGACCGCCGTGTCCGTCGTATATGCCAAAAAATGCGTATTCCAGTTCGTGGGTGATCGGCGACTCCTGGTAGGCCACCGAGAACTGATCCTCCATGTACTTACGGCCGCCCTGGCTGCATTGTCCAGTGACGCGCATATTGACGCCCAGGGAGGAGCAGGGCGACGGATTGCCGGTGGAAGCGGTGCTTCCGGTGGCGGAGCTGGAACTTGAATTGCTGTTGGAGCTGCTGCTCGAATTGGAATTACTGCTGGAACAGCTCTCTGGAATCGATCGCGCTGGAATGATGGCCGCCGACCGGCGCAATCGACTTTGTGCCGCTCCTCCTCCGCCCCTCAAGCGGTTTGTTGGTGTTGCTGAGTTTATACGTTGTTTCTTTGGATTTAAAGGCTTGGCTGGTGATCCCCCCTCCACATTGACGACCATTTCCTTGGCATCTGCTTCCATTTTGTCTACTTCCAGGCCGGGAATGGGAATGCTCTGCTCCGGCTCTTCCTCTTCCTGTGCTCCTCCTATCGCTGCCGGTGCAGCAACAACAACACCACTGCTGACATCCAATGCTGGATGGCACCCACTGTTATTGTTGTTGTTATTGTTGCTGCCGCCGTGGCGAGAAGAGGACAACTGATGTCGCGGAGTAACAGAGGCTGTGGCTGCAGTTGTACCGCTATCGTCCGCATAATAGTTAATAATATCGAATTCCACGAGCGGCGCATCTGAGTCCTGGAAAGTACCGCTAGTCGCTGCCGTCTCCCGCAATCGAACTACCGTTCTTTCGATGGTCGACTTGATGAGGCATCTGTTGGTATTGGTAGTGGTATGGGTGGTGTTGGCATTTGTGTTGGTATGGGTGCTACTGGTGCTACTCCTGTTATTGGCGGGCAACATCTTCGTTCCTCTGTTATTTTGGTGGTTTTCCCCCGTGTTTTGTTTATGCTGCCTGCTGCTGCTTCTTCTTCTTCTGCCTTTTAGACTTCTCCGTCTCGCAGTGTTGTAATTTCCGTTGACATTTGGCACTCTCACACACACGTACAACGCAACACAACACAAAAAAACAATAAAAATATATAAAGTACAAGAAGAAAAAGCGACTCAGGCCTTTCTCTCTCCCGCTCTCGCTCTCGCAGCCCTCGCTGTGACGGGCAGTGCAAGCGAGATGACTAAATGTGCTGTATGTATTTACGTTTGCCACCAAGCTTGCGTGTGTGCGTGCTCCATCTAGCGTATTTAGTATTTTGTGTTTGCAATTGGCCGCCAAAATCCGATGAATTTCCTTTACTTTGCACTAAAACTGGCATGGAGTATATTGTAATTTCTGCTTTCGCTTGCTTGAACTGCGTGGAGAAACAGCGCCCCTTTTTCCACGATAAAAGACTTAATGCCCAGGGCGCGCAGTTTCACCTTGATGATTTGTTGTTCGCCAGCATTTTCTGCGTTCGATTTTTCTCTCCACCTCCGTGGACTTTTGTTTTTTTTTATATTTTATTTGTATTTTTTGCCTGTCAGCACGTCCACATCCACACACACAACAAAATGCACGGTAAATTGTTTAACAAAAATTATGTCGGAAAAAAAATCAAATAGAAAGCGTGTGACCGTTGTGAAAGTAGGATGAAAATACCGCGCTCGATAGGCGATGTATAATACTGGAAGCACACCCATCGATAACAATAATGAATATGATGATGAATAATGTGTCACGAGTTTTTTTTTAATGTTTTTAATCATTTATACACTAATTATAAGATCAAATCGTTTATCTGGCCCTTAGAAGTTGTTTCACCATTTACAAGAAACTAGTTTATTAAAAAGAATGCCTTGATTAATAATGATAAATTGTTTGGGTTAGATATCGAACCGAACATTTTATTTAAAAATGATTAATGCTTTTTAATGCACTTCTTAAGCAAATACATTCATATATTTACTATCATTGCATTATATTACATTAAATATCTAGTTCATATATTCTGTTTTAAAATCGTACGTTTTAAGTGGTAAATATTAATATAACGAGCCACCGATAACTAGCCTGAAAAAATGTTGTTAAGCTCTGTATACCTTTTTTTTATTATTATTAAGTGGCAAAAATATAAAATATAATATAAGTTTATTTTTATAAAAAAAATAAAAATAGAAACAAAAATATGAAAATATTTCAGCTCTATCTATTTCATTTCATTTTCTATCTTTCTATTTCAAGCAAAGAGTAATAATGTTATAATGATAATAAATAATAAAATTATATTTTATTTATGTATATTGTTAGTTACAAATCGATCTTTGGTGAAGCTGGATTGCATCACATTAAATTTAATCGAATGTACAATGTTTATATAGTGTGGATATGGTTATCTTAACTTAACTATGTATATGAAAATAGCTATAAATAGCAATAGCAAAAACTCTTTCACTTTAATAAATATACTAAATTCAAAAAAATACCAATACCAAAAATCTTTAATAAATAGCCGTTAATTTTAAATTAAATAAATATGTGGATGTTAAAATATATCGAATGCATGCGAAATGATAGCTGCTTGTATCGTTTGCAGCTCTGATATTAGTGATGTTGGGCTTATCTTGCGCCCTATCGAATATTTACTACCGGATATCGAGTGCGGCATTTCAGGTAACATTTGTGATCTTCAACAGTTCTACGCGACCCATTACTATTTGGTTCTATATTTGTCAAGATTCTTCCCTCTAACTATTCAAGAATCGGCGTTGCGAGCTCAGTAACTGTTATCGAGCCGCCGATAACAGTCATCACTGCTGCCAGACGCCGCCCGCCAAACGTGACCTGCCAGACGCCGCCCGGATCTGGCCAATCAGAGCCGCTTACGCTCGTCGGTCGCCGTTCGATAAACCGAAATCGAAACCCGAAATCGAAGCCGTCGTTTAGTAAATCCGCAGCAAGCAAACCGCTCAGTAGTTCAATTTGTGGAGCTGTCTGGCTGATTTGCGTTCCATTCACCGTACCAGTGTAAAATCCAGGCGACTACGCTTAGCGGTAAAAACACCCACACACCCACGCACAACAAAGTATATGGGGGCAAATGTTTTTTCAACCCGGTTCATACAGATCTTCTGAAAAACAAATTCCCTATCTGCTGTTCTTTTTTTTCACGTTCTCTGTTCCCAAAATAATGAATAAATAAGAAGAAAAAAGTGAAATAAGTCGTGGCGTGCTAAATTTGTATTGCGTGTAAAATTGTTAAAACAAAAAAAAAACGAAAGAGAAACAAGCAAACCCATACACACGCATTCCGCTTTTTTCCTGCCCACAACTGGATTTTTTTTTAAAGTTCGAAATTGGTATTGCATTAGAATTTATTTGGTGACAGCTGTTGAACTACGGAGGGAAAAAATCGCGCGCAATCAGCAAAAATTAAAAGGTAAGTAATAGAAAAAAACAAACAAAAAACAAATGGCGTGTGAATGTTCTTGAATGCAAAATGCAACGTTGTGCAATTTTAATAATGCCAAAAGTTCCCATGATGCAAAAGTGTGTGGGAGAACACAGGGCACATGCCGATTTTTTTTTTCAGTTTTTGGTTTTAATTTCGAGCTACGGTGAAATCAAGTTTTCGGGTTGACGTCATTTTAATTATGCATAGAAACGCAGGTAATAGCCGAACATTTTTGGTCAGCGGTTGCTTTGCTTCCGCTTCATTTTTGGCAAACTTTCCAGCTAATGATCGAACAGCTGTCAAAGGTTTCAGTTGTTCTACCTTTAGGCTGTGGGAAAATTGCTAATTAGAGAACAATGCAGTATAGTCCTGCATTGAAAATTCGCGGGTTTCCAATTGCGAACGGGAATTCAATTACCCAGCGTGCATGTGCAAGCGCGCGCGTGCTTGTGTGTGTTCCTGCGTGAGATGGCTAGCAAAAAGCGTTGCATACTTGCAGGTGCAGGTCCCGGTCCACTCCTGTGTCTCTCTCTCTTTTCCTCTCTCTCTCTCTCTTTGCTGTCAGCCTGTCATTTATAATTTCATTTCATGTCGCAGGACATGTGTGTGTGTGTGTGTTTGAAAAACACTGTACAAAAATAGTGCTAGAACAAGCACAGTTTCGCGCTCATAAATATACAACTTGTGCTCTCTTCCGCTTCCTGTCTTGCCCCTCTTCCCTCCCCCTTTCCCACACACTGTTCAACTGTCAATGCAGTTTTCTAATTGACTTCATCAGAAGAGCGAGAAGAACAAGAAGTGGAGGTAGCTGCAGCATCCATACAAATACACACATGCCGTCCCTCTCACTCCATTGCCTTTGGCCACCTGTCAACTCTCGGCTGTCTACCTCCCATCACCATCCCCACCCACAATCCCTGTCCCTATCCCCCTCCCTTTCTCGCTCTCTGCGTGATTCCGCCCGCCAACAGTTGCCTGCTGCTTTACCGTTATGATTTGTCTGCCCTGCACGTTACTGTCAAACGTCAGGAACACGAATAAGCCTGCTAAATCGCAACAAATTCCAGACGCCGATGGAAAGGAAAAAAAGACTGAACATAAATATGAGTACAAAGCACCGAGAAAATCGGAAGTTAATCTTGTCCAACTATTTCTGAACCGGAAGGAATCAGGATTGAGATGGCATATTGCACACTATGCATATGCAGTTTGATAAATCTTTTATTCAGAACTATGCACAGTGGGCAATGTGAAACCAATTGATGGTCAGATATTGCACGTTTTAAATAAGCTAGAATTAATTATTTTCTTAAAATCAAATAGCTTTCTCCCAATGCCCAAATAAAAATTGATTGATAACTCACACGATTTGATAGCTTAGCTGTTGTAATACTTAAATGTATTATGGAATGCTGAGGCGTGTGCACTCTGCGATCTGTTATAGCGGGTGCCAACTGTACTTGTGAATTCGATTACTAGCACAAGGGGAGCTTCATATTCTTTGTGATTAGCTGCAGTTCGGACTTTCCTGGTCGCTTTAGCTAGGTGTTTTCAGTAAATTACGGCGAATATTGGATAGTGCGAGTGTGTCAGCACAAAGAGCCGGGTATCCTAGCGACTAAAATTGGTTGCGGTTGCTTTGCTGCATTGCCACGCCACTTGGCCACCTTGCCACCTAGCCACCCACTTCACCAGCCATCAAGCCCACTACCACAAGCACTCCCACATTTTCCACCCGCTGATTTTGAGGTTGCAATTGCAAAATGCCAAGCGCACTTTGTACGCTCCGTCGTTTGCCTTGCCTTCTCCCCTGCTTTGCTGTGCTTTTCGCAACTAATAAGCAATGCCATTGCTCGCAGAAGTATGCTACGAAAAATGGCAATTGCAATGGAATCTTCGAGCGCGCGTGTGTGAGCCTTGAATTTGAATTAGTTGTTGTTGCTGCTGCTGCTGCTGGTGGTGCTGGTGCTTCGCAGCTTCTCTGTCATGGCCACCTACGCGCGCGTGTGTGTGAGGGAGGGAGAGTGAGAGAGAGAGAGAAAGTCGGAGCATCTGCTCAAGGCCATGTTGCAGTGCATTGCTTGTGCTGCCATCTCGCTCACTCCATATAATTTAAATGCATCCTGCATATGAATATTGCCTGTTAATTGACATTGGTATGTGTGCATTGCCCTGGCCCTCTGTGTGCGTGCTCGTGCTTGTTTGTGTTAATATGTCATCCTGTGGCTCTGATATTTGATTTGTAATATTGCCGCTTGTATTGCTTGTGTTTCTATAATTAAATTGCCTGGCTTCTGCTCTGCTGTGCAAACTGTCCCGAAAAAGCATGCAATGCGCCTGCGTTAATAAATACACAGCAAGAAATCGGGACAACTGTAGGGTTTATTAAGAAACCCCTTATAATAAAATTTCAGAATTAGCTTGAGTATTCACGGAATCGTTGTGAACCAAACATGCCTAAGGGATGGGTACATTGTATATATCAATCAGTTTGTCTTTCAGTGTAAGTGTGTGTGTCTGTGTCCATTGGGGGGGCTAACTTTATTAAAACTCGCTCTTTAATTGAAGAAAATACTAATAAGGTTTTACGATGCGCTCGCCTCTCTTCAGTGGCGTTGCTCATCTGTTTTTCTCCCTCTTTTTTCGTTACAGTTACAGAGACGAGGCGCCAAAAAGAGCCACTTTTCAAACGGTTCGATTCGAGTACAGTTTAAACACACAGGAACGCAGAGCCCCAAACATCAGCCAAAATGTCTGATCGCAAGGCCGTGATTAAAAATGCCGACATGAGCGAGGAGATGCAGCAGGATGCCGTCGATTGTGCGACACAGGCCCTCGAGAAGTACAACATTGAAAAGGTACGTTTTGAATGACAAACAAGATAGAATTCTATAGTCGAGTTGCCCGACTATCAGATACCCGTTGCTCAGCTAGTGGAAGTGTATACCCTTTTACTCTACGAGTAACGGGTATAACAAAACAAACCATATTAATAGTCTTGCCGAAAAGTATGAAATAATGTATTCAAAGTCTTGGAACGATGTTACGTTTATGATTACATACTTTTACACACATCTATGCTGTAAAGAGCCACCAAATGCCTAGGCATTCCATAAAATGTATGAAACGCAGGGGAAATCAGGTTGATCACATCCACATTGAAACACACACCCACTGATTAGGGGATGGAAAAGAAGGGGGTTTTGAAAAAGAGAATGAGCAGGCACAACAGGTGTTTTTTTTAGTGGGTGGCCTCGGGAGACCCAAATGTATTGATTGCCGTAATTGTTTTTTAAATGCCAAACGCATTACTTGAGAAAATTCCAAATAATTCTGTTGCTAATTTGATCAACAAACTTGACAATTTGGTATCCAATTAGAAAGGAATAGGACTTGGCATAGGGCTGCAATTGTTTTGCTGCATGTGAAATGATTAAGATAAATACAAAACTAAATCAATAGATATTAAAGGCTTTGCTTGATTATTTCGCCAGCCAGGTAATTGGAAATTTGAAACTGGCAGCGGTGGGATTATTATTTTGGCCTAATACCGTAATTAAATTAGATTTACTTCTACTCGCACACGCACACGTACGCACGCACACCTACACATTGTTTTCCATTAGTTTTCCCTTCTCTGACATTGTTGCATTTCAGGGCGGTGGAAACATGTAACCCACTTTCCTCCCAGTAAACTTGTGGCTTGCACTGCGTTTGGCAATTTCGCAATTTTGCGATGCAGCCTTTGGGTTTCCCGCCCACAAGTCCATTTCCACAGCCATTTCCTCACAGCCCACATCCAACAGCTATTTGCCCCCCTTTTTTTGGCTCCCTGGATGAAGAGCTCCTTTCACAAACAATGTACAATATGTGCCTGCATTTTTCGGAAGCACAAAGTACAAATTTGATCACTTTTAACCTTTGCCCTTATCATCGGCTTAATGGCGAAGGCTATAGTTTCTCATTTAGCACTTGGATGGAGCTAATTTAATGCTTGATAGCAAAAATCTTTTTCGGCAATGAAAGGGGTGAAGAAAAGTTATGCAGAATGGTAGTTTAGGGTTAAATACATTCTGTATTGGGTGGAAATTGAATCAAATGCAAATACTGTGTAAAGGATTTCCCGTGACTAACCTCCGGTCCAAGTGGCCCTGACTTAAGGAGATTTTCCCAGAGGAAGTGCGAAATCAGCGGAGGACTGACCATCATTAACAATTTCCGACGCTCATGCTAGACAACAACTAAAATAAGCTCTTGATTTAGTTGAACGCATGGAACAACAACAACAACAGCAGCAACAATAACAAAACAAGAAAGAAAAACAAAATCAGCGAGCAATGTCAACAAAGTCGAAGAAATTGAATAATCAATAGATGTGCGGTGGGGGGTCGTGGGGATTGCGATTGAAGGAAAAGTGCCAAGCACACGCACTAGTCGGGTGCACAGGGAGAAATTACACATTACATTGTTATTGTAAGCTTTAGTGAAGTGTTTCCACTATGGCATACAAATGAGCCCCCGAAGCAAAATGTTTCACCCATACGAAAGCATTATGGAAATTGTTTTCCCCGAGTGCGGTGGTCAGAGTGCACGCCCTGACGGAGGTCACTGAAAATGCGGCCTGCAAAGTGCGCGGCAGGGGAGTGGGAAAAGCCGGAGGAAAAGCGGCGGTTCGGTTGGAAAGCTGCGGGCATTTGCCAGCAACTAGCAGCGCGGGCCTTTGTCAATGCCAATGGCAGAAGAAGACAACACACTGCGACTAAAAAGCGAGTACTGCTATTCTGTATTCGGCGATTCTGGCATTCTGCTACTGCTACTGAGACGCTGGGAAAATGGAATCGGAAAACGGAAAAGCGGGGATGGGGGAATGCGCGGGCCCTTGAAAGCAAAGCAAAGTAAACTTGAAATCACGGCGGAAGTGAATAAAGCGCCAGGGGGGGCGGTGCGGAGAGCTTGTGGGAGGAAAAAACAGAGAGAGGTTCTGCTAATTGAGCAGTAAAGCAAAATGTGCGTACACAGTGGATATAGGCTAAGCGAAACAGCGTTTAAGCGCAACCACAACATTGTTTAATAGCTGCGCAAGCCAACTAAATCAGTCGCTTATCAACGTAATTTATGATTTTCAATTGTGACATTAGATAACATTTTCCTGGGTCCTAGTAAAAAAACCCAGGTGTTCTCCAGTGGTTTTCACTGTATGTGCGACAGGTCCTGTGCCCTAAAAGTATGCCATACATTTTCTCTGTATTCGCACTCTTCCCGAATGTTGTCATTGTGCCCAGGAGGTAGGGATATGGAAAGTATCGCATTTGGTGGGGTGGTTGGGGCGAAAAGTAACCACCACTGAAACGCCTGAACCACCTGAAACACCTGAACCACCTGAACCACCCATTGCGAGCCTACCTCTTGTTGCTATAAATAAAATATATGCCACACGATTGATTGCCTTTTTGTCTTCACTCTTCACTCTTCCTGTCTCTCTCCCTCTTGCCCCTCCCCTTCCGCTTCCTCTTTCCACTGCTTATTGCATAATAATAAGTTAGCCATTATTTCGCACTGTGTGCTTGCTTGGTGTAGGTAATTAAATATGGATTTTTTGTTTTTGTTGCTGAGCGGCGAAAACACAAATTTAATTGCTTAGATGAAAATTGAAAAATTGCCGCCGCCTAATGGAAAAAATTAACAATAAAAATAGAATCAAATTTGTGGGAAAGATAATGAAAAAGCAGGAAGGAGAGCTACCTTTAACCTTTAGGCGATGCTGCATTGAATAATGCCGTTTGTTTCGCCAATAGTTTCCAATCAATAATTGACCTGGTAAAATCTTCCGATTTTCCGCATTTACCCAGCTGATTATAAGTTGCAAATTCCAATCGCAGCGATGCAATGGCACAGGGAGTGAGGGGGGTAGGCGGAAAACAGTTTTTGGTATCCATTAGATACGCAACTAATACTACTAAATGGAGTGGGGGACACCTCACCACACCGGGCCCCCTGGGGCGCACAAGGGTTAAGCCTGGGCCCACTTCGTTGTACCTTATGTGTATGTATTTTTAGGGGCGCGCAACCTTTCAAGCAGCTTAAATCGTATCCATAGGCATTATGTTGCTCCACCCCCCTGTTTCCATGTATTTTTGTATCTGTGTGTCTATAATGTGTATGTGTGTGTCTGTGAGCCGCGATTTAAAGGCAAAGCCCTAAATAAGCCAACAAGAGGGCCAAAAAATAAAATGGAAAAGGCAAAAAACAGCGGGGCAGCAGAATATAAATTTTCAATTCAATTATTTTCTGGTCTTATGTTTGCTTTCAAATAAATTTAATTTGTTTTTCGCATCGCTGCAGGTGGGAAGTGGTAACGTAGTTTATAACAATTAATTCTTTTGATTTATTTAACTCGAAGCAATCTTATTGAATTTGATTTACCGACTTTGAAGAGTGTAGGTAATTAAAATACATCATGAAAATGACAACTTTGATGAAAAACCAGATAAAATCGAGAACTTTACTATTGACACTCAACGGAATCAGTTTTATACGAACGGTTTTCATATATAAACACGAATTTAATTTGATTTTTTGTGCGCTGTTATTATCCTTGCATACGAATTTTTTGTTTGTTCCTCTTGTGACGCACAAAAGGCGGAAACCCTGCGAACAAATAAACACGACAAACAGTTTTGCATTCAATCGTTGTGGGGACTTCATGCATTTTTGTTATTACTATATATTTTTTTTTTATGGGTTTTGTTTGTGATTTTTTGCGTGTCCAAAATGTTTAATCAATATGCAGGCAGCCGGCGAATGTTGTGTGTATAGATTGTGTATGTGTGTGTAAAAAGCAAATACATGCACACATGCATCCACTTTTATTGGCACACATTCATCGAATCCAGAGTTTTCCACTCTTTCCATGCCTTAAAACGTGTCCAGGCATATTTGCTGGGGCTCAAAAACCTGGGTACATTTTCCAGGTGTGGCCTAAATGGTTAGGAGGCAGTTGGTCTGGACATTTTGCTTGCGTCTTAAAAGCAAAGTGATTAGATGTGATGTTTGTTGATGATCTATTTGCCCAAAACACACTTTCTTTCTGATACAGAACCGATGAATAGCAAAGAATGTCAATCAAAAGTATAGGAATAGCTTTGGTGCTTCGAAGGCAATCGCTGCTGCCAAAATGTGTCAGTTGCCTTCCCTAAATTATATGACCAAAATTGCAATGCCGATTTCATTAGGCTACCTACATATGTACATATGCATGTGTATATATGTGTGCTGTGTAGATATGTATTTAGTGGCACAGAACTGAGCGCACGACAACAAGAAACAGCACTACAACCCACTCTATGGTTACTCCCACCCAGTCTTAACCCCTGTTGCCACTGTTTTTTCCACTTGTGTGTCGGAATGTTCATTTTGTATGTTTTTGGCGTTGCCAAAACAAAATTCCATGGCATTGCTAGGGCGGAAGGGGCGTGGCGGGCAAAAGAGGCCCCACCTCACTTCACCCCAAACCAAATTGAATATAAAACAATCAGCCTTATATTGTCGTCTGACACGACACGAAAATATGCACGCAATAGGCTGAAAGCAACAAAACAAGAGTGGAAAACAAAACATTGCCCAAAGGAAGTGCTCCGCAGAGGGCTCCACCAAAAAATGGGGAGCAGCTGGAATGACTTAATAGCCATGATCGCCAGCGGATTTCATTACAGTGGAACTTTAGCTAAGTGAATCGCTGTTATTGCAACTGAGAAATATGAACTATGTACTTGAGCGGACGATAAAGGCCAAATGTGTACGGTTTGTCTCGAGCAGGTATTACTGTATGATACGGTATGATGACGACAACTTTGATTGAAGGATAGCTAAAGCAGAGAATCGGATAATGGCACTCAGCTAAATCAGCTTTATATTGTTTTTCCCTTTTTTTCCTTTGTTTCCTTTGGTGGCGCGCTTTTCTTCACCCGTCCTGTTTGTTTTATTATTGGTTCGTTATTTTCACCGTTTTTGTTTTGAGGTTACCAGGTTAAGTTTATGACTTTGCACGCATTCCCCTGCAACAACAATGGGCTCTCCTGCCACCTGCCCACCTGCTCTCCTGCCCAGACCCTTGGAATCCAAGTTCCCGCCGGTTTTTTGACCCCACCCACGAGTAAATGAACTCAACTCCAAGTGAGGCGCCTAAAAGTATGGCAAAAGAAAACTTTCATATTGCCTCAACTTTCGAAACAGAACAGTTTTATTTTCATAAGGTTCGACATTCCCCATTCCCACCCAGGTTGGCACAAACATCTACTGCTAATGCACTTTTAACCCCTTTGCAAAGATGTCAGCTGCAATTATTGAAAGCCGTGTAGGATATAGATAAAATACGTACTAACAGATACTTTGCTGCCACTTTCGGTGACAGCCCATCAATGTGAGCTCCCCAAACAGGGCTATAAATTTTCTTTGAAGGTTGAGCTTTGAGCTTCATATTTATCTGACCTCCATTGTGCTTTCGCCTTATATATATGTATCTCATTATATGCGGGTTGTGCTGGCTGCTGCGTGTGTGTTTGCGTAACCCTGGATTTAGTCGCCAATTCGACTGACAATGACCTTTGACATTTGCTAGACCAAACTGCATGGGTTTCAACGCAGTGCTTGTGGTACTTCTTTCTACCCCAACCCACCCCCCACCAATTTTTCAATGTTTTTACCCCATTTAGCGCCATTTGTTTCAACCCTTTGCTCGGCATTCGCCATCTAAACTGTGACCGCATTCACTTAGTGGTTTATTAGTGTTAGTATTAACATGCATAATTAGCCAATGCCACAAGAACTGTGCATTCATTTCAGCCAAATGACTTAATGCGAATAACAACGAATATCATAGCTAACTCATTAGCACAACTTTTAGCTCGACACACAACGCACAACACGCCCGCGTTAAGTTTTCCTTTTTGGCCACCAACACTTTTCGGTTGCGCTGCCTGGTTTTTGGGGTCACATTTTGGGTTACCCCCAGTGACAGGCCCCCGATGGAAAGGAAGTTTGCGAGGGGGGAGCGCGACTGGTGGAAAATGAGTTTTTCGTTTGGCATTTTATTGAGTTTGCCGTTTGCCGCTAATTTCAAAACAGTTAGCAGCCACTTAGGCATTTGTTTTCGCCCCCTTTTGATGGGCATCGCTTATGGGTGTTTTCGCGTTTTTCGGCCTGGCTTTAGTTGTTCCCTTCTTGCCAATGCATTTCTGACAGCTTTATGGAATGTGGCGTTAACTTTTTCGATTGCCAATTGGCAGCTGCACAAGGGAGGAATGTAATAGATATCCACTATGCGAAATTGAATTACAACCGAGAGCCGCAAACTCCTCCATATTAGATTATAAGACGGCAAAGTTTGATGCTTCGGCATCGAAGAATGCTGCACGGCTTCACTTTTAATAATTAATATCAATTGCTGCAAATATAATAGAATCAAAAGAAACTTAAATGCTGAAATAACTTAACTGGTATTAAAAAACCGATGGACTAATGTATTATTTTGGCTTTCCATTCAATTGCAGGACATTGCGGCCTACATCAAGAAGGAGTTCGACAAAAAGTACAATCCCACATGGCATTGCATTGTCGGTCGCAACTTTGGATCGTATGTCACCCACGAGACGCGCCACTTTATCTATTTCTATTTGGGCCAGGTGGCCATTTTACTGTTTAAGAGCGGTTAAAGTATTGTCGAGTCGGATGAAGTGGTGGTGAGGAGGCTGATGGAGATGCAGCAGCTGCCCCGCCAGCAGCAACAACAACAGCAGCAGCAACAGCAGCAGGGGCAGCAGTCGCATTTCGGGGCATCAGAGGATGAGGATCTAGAGCAGAAACAGCAACAACCACATAATCAACCACAGAAAACACAGCACCAACAACAGCAGCAGCAGCAACAAACAGAAGAACATCTCAAGGATGCGGAAATGATGACCGATAAGCCAAGCGGAAAGCAGCAGCAACAGCCACAGCAAGAACAGTACCAACAAAAGCAATCTGAAGATTTGGATATGGAACTAACCGACGATCAGGGTGTAGATGAGGATGGGGAGAATGAGCAGGAGGAAGCTGACGAAGACGACGACGACGACGGCGATGGCGAAGATGACGATGACGATGATGGCACCATCGTGGAGGACAGCGATGCCACCAGCTGCAGCAGTTGTCGTCGAGCCGAACTGGAAGATAATCAGCAAGAGCAGCAAATGTCTTCTCCCCAAAAAGATCGGGAAGATGTCACCTAGATGCATCAACGGGCAATCTCTTCCACACAATGGAGAGGATGCACACGAAATATTCTAGCATGTCTATCGGATGCATGGAATACCTATTTGTTGGTGGTATAGATTGAACCATATGCTGAGTAACTTAAAATGAAAGAGCGAAACAATGTTCGATAAGAAAGCGCTACTAGTACACACAATATACACAACAAGAAACTGAGGAACTTGTTTACAAGCATGAACCAGCGCTGTTTAGTTTTGAAATCACCATTTCCCATCCCAAGCTTCGGCATGTATAAATTAATACTATAGTTTAGAATTAGCCATTGGCTACCATTTGGATTGCATTCGCGCGCCCCATGTTTCGAACTTCTGTTGAAATACTTATATTTTTTATTTGGCAAATGTATTTTGTGCTGGCCCTTTGTTTGACCTCATAATTTACTTATGAAACCTGCAATTGCGTAATTAAATAATTGTTAACTAGAAATGAACCAAAAACCATGTGTTATATTTATTTGAATTATTTCCCTTTTTATTTTCCATCAATTTCGTTGGCGCTTAGCAGAGGCAAGAACCACACACACACACACATACACATAGCACAGGCAACAACCACCACTACAACCGAACGAGTAAAGTAAAAAAAAAAAAACAATATTTAACAAAATTGTAAGGAAAACTCACATATTTTTCTGTCGGATGGATTATTTATGTGTATTGAACTCTCAACACTTGTAATCGGAAACCAAGCAGAAAAAATATATAAAAGAAAATAGTATAATGTGAAATTTGCATACACACCATACTCACTCACACACAAACGCTCTCTGCACACCTAATGGGTACACAGAGAAAAATATCACAAAACTGGCATGCTTTTCCCATAAAAATGGTATTCCATAACTTGAATCGGTTCTTTAAATTGGTAAAAACACGCATTTTAAAATTGCATTTGTTACCGATAATATTTCATCATTTCAATCTAGTATCTGAATCTGAAATCCTTATCTTGAAATATAGAGAAAAGCAATTATAAATGATTCGAAATTTATCAGATGATTGACAGAGTTGCTTTTTATCAAATTGTGTTGGATCGTTTTTGATGGATATGTCAAATGATTGCTGATTTCTCCCTGTGTACTTAAGCAATGTATTATTCATAGCTTACGAGTAAACCAAATCGGTGCGTGTTTGGACATGGATTTTTCCCACCTCCCAACCAAACCCCCATTTTCGCCCATTATTTACTCCTTTCCCAGGATTTTGCTATCAACGGCAAGCCAGCAAGAACAAGAAGATAAACCCATTGCAATAAAACCATAGCAGCAACAAATTACACGCAAATTGAATATTATGTGTATGTGTATATGTATTGTCCATCCACAGCAGCAAAGTATGCAAGAAAAATTTTTTGTAGAAACTGCAAGCAGTAATAAAACATAGAGCGGAGAATAACGAAAGCAAAAGCAAAGACAAAATAAATAATTATCATCTTGTCGTTTATATAAATGTGTGCTATATGTTTCTTCGAATCGGATTTATGTTATATAAAACAGAAGAACAGTTACGATTTAAAGGCAAATTTCAAGGAATGAAAGCGAACAGTAATAAGAAACAAGGAAACCAAAAAGTAAATATATATATTCATGCAAAAAATACAAAATAAAGTAAACATTGGTGTAAATTAAGCAACAACCTAAGTAAAACCTACTAAAAACAACAAAAAAAAGGAAGCTTAATACGTAATTTCCTGAAAACAGCCGAAGACATATACATATGCAGAATTCACACACATTTACCGTTACTTTTCACACACACATGCAGCACCTCTCTCTCTTTAGCTATTGCGTTTTAGATTATTGCTCAGCACGTTTTTGCGTAGACACAAAACTATTTATGCTAACGGTAAGATAGAACCTTCTCTCTCTCACCCACACACACCTCCCCCACTTACTCACACACACACACTCGCAAAAACAAGAAGACGAAAAGAAAATCGTAATTTTTTTCTTAAAATTTGGAATGGCGGATTTCTAACGGGACAGAAAACAAAAACACACGAGGACTTCTAATAAGTGTTTATACATACAAATATATATATATATACATGTATATGTATACATATAAAACAAAACAAAAAAAAATCAAAGGATAATGAGCATAATTTTTTGTCATAATGCAAAATATTTGTGTGAGAAACCAATTTTTGATGTAACAGAAAAACGCGCGATTAAATGAATATGTGTAACGGTAATTGAGCAAAAGATAGATAAAAGAAAGTGAAAAATTGATTTCTTCCGCTTAGTTTTTCCCAATCGATCGATCCATTTCCTCATTTTTCGTTAGTAACTTTTAAACTCAAATCTTTTAGCTGCCATTTCTGAAGAAAAAAAGAAAGAAACAACAAACCGAGAAACCAACAAATACAAAAACTAGTTTAAAATCTTAGTTCGTAAACCGTTTATTTGAATTAAACCGTTTAATTCTACTTTATCTATTTCTATTTAACTGGTTTTTTTGTGCAAGACACAAACATTACTTAAGTTTTTGTAAGAGATTAGTAAATTATGTGAGCTGAGGGCGATATAAAGCAGTATTGCAATTGCAACTGCAATCGCAAGTGCGGATTTATGAAGGCAATTTCAAGTAACAATACGAGTAAGAAATGAGAAAGCAAACAAAAACCAAATGAGATCTTCAATGTGAAATAAAAGTACTTCTTTGAAACCCCTGGTTTTATTTGGCTTTCGCTTGGGCGGCAAAATAATTCAAAATGTGATTGAGTAAGTATACCGAATTTGCATGAAAAGATGAGACTATATTTCATACCCTTTCGATTATATCAACAAGCGCCAAATTATATTTCAAGTTATATGGAAAAAGAAAGTTTGTTAAACTTGTCTAGTATTTTTTTGGAGAAGAGTGAAAGCTCTAGTATTTTATTGAGGGTCACACTGATCGGCTAAGCGGTGTGGTATTTTGCGTATACCGCCGTACGGTTGTTATAGTTGTGCAATATAGTAGTTGATAAACTAATCTCGCTATCTTTTTTTTCCGATTGTTTAACTTACAACGACGCGCGGCGGTGCGACTGAGACACCAGATATATAGCGTGCGATTCTAGATCCGGACAATCCGCATATAGAAAGCCCCCATTCACATACGATTTCTGTCAGTCGAACGAGAATAACACAGCGAAAATGTTGCGTACTCTGTCACGCGTTAGCGAATTGCCCATTATTGTTAAGCAACTGCAAAAAGTACGTAATCCCAATCCCGCTATGCACCCACTAACATTTCTAATTGTTGTCACTAAAAATGCAATTGAACAAAACCCATTTGAAATGAAAACACTAAAAGCGTTACCATAACAACAACAACATCATCAGTGGATGTCGGATATTTAGCAACAACAACAACAGCAGCAACACCGATATCATCAGGAATGGGAGATATTCATCGTCGTTTTTCGGTTTATTCCAGAATGCAGCCCAAGCAGGTGTTTCAAAAACCAACAATTATGCCACGGAAGCCACCATTCAAGTGAATCGGGTGCGTATTAAAACATAAAGTAATTGTATCTTTGGAAGAAAAAAAATACGGTTACATAATGCGATTTCTGCCAGATAGCAACGGTTAATGGGGGACTCGTTTGCGTGTGTGTAAGTGCAGGGTTGCATTTTGCCGGTCAAACCGCTCATTTTCAAATGACAAGGTCACGCAGCAATTTGTAGTTTTCCGTCTCCCACGCTCTTTATCGCCGTCTGCCTTTTGCGTGTCCGACGCGTGACTGTTCACGCACCATATAACATATAGTCTTATCAACGATCCGCCGATTTTCGCCCTCTCTCTGTCTGCCTGGCTCTCTGTTTACGTCGATTTTCATGCCATAAATTAGCCGCCATAAAGAGCCATAAAGCTAAATTTGATTTTTTTGGATTTGATTTTTTGCTATAACCTTTCAGGTACTGCAAGCTTGCAGCTTATGATAATTTGGCTTATCCCATCAAACAGTTATCACGTTATTGCTTATCATGCTTCCAAGCGTTTCCGTTAGGTTTCTATCAGCTGTGTGTCAGCTGTTCATTTAAAACTTTGATGAATTGATTGAATCAAAGCTAGGATGGTGGGAAAACAATCAATCTTTTGACTTGTCTAAAGGAAATATGTCTAAGATACGTTACTTCAATTTTGCAGCCCTTCAAGCTGCACCGCCTGGACGAAGGACCCGCCACGGAAGTGAAACTGACCAAGGATCAGGCCCTCAAGTACTACACACAGATGCAGACGATCCGCCGGTTGGAGACGGCCGCCGGTAATCTGTACAAGGAGAAGATCATCCGTGGCTTCTGTCATCTGTATTCCGGCCAGGAGGCCTGCGCCGTTGGCATGAAGGCGGCGATGCGGGATGTGGACAACATCATATCGGCCTACCGTGTCCACGGATGGACCTACCTGATGGGTGTCTCACCCAGCGGCGTACTGGCTGAGCTCACCGGTGTCCAGGGTGGCTGTGCCCGCGGCAAGGGTGGCTCCATGCACATGTACGCACCGAACTTCTACGGTGGTAACGGCATCGTGGGTGCCCAAGTACCTTTGGGCGCCGGCGTTGGCTTGGCCTGCAAGTACAAGGGCAATGGCGGCATGTGCCTGGCCCTCTACGGTGATGGTGCCGCCAACCAGGGACAGGTGTTCGAGGCCTACAACATGGCCTACCTGTGGAAACTGCCTGTGATCTTTGTCTGCGAGAACAACAACTACGGTGAGTGCTGTAGGAAGTGTAATGAAACTATCACACTTTTGGGCGTAATCGATGCATTCTAAAATATACTTATTTTAACCATTAGGAATGGGCACCAGCTCAGAGCGTGCGTCCTGCAACACTGACTACTATACTCGCGGCGACGCTTTGCCCGGAATCTGGGTGGACGGCATGGATGTGCTGGCCGTGCGCAGCGCCACCGAGTTCGCCATCAACTATGTGAACACTCACGGACCTTTGGTGATGGAGACGAACACGTACCGATACTCTGGCCACTCCATGTCCGATCCGGGCACATCGTACCGCACACGCGAGGAGATCCAGGAGGTGCGCCAGAAGCGCGATCCCATCACGTCCTTCAAGGAGCTGTGCATCGAGCTGGGTCTGATCACCACCGATGAAGTCAAGGTGGGTTTTGGGCGATCCCCAATTTTTCCATCCCATTTTTTTTGTGTCTCATACTATGATTGCCATTAAAAAATATCCACATTCCAGGCCATCGATCTGAAGGTACGCAAGGAGGTCGACGAGGCCACTGCCTTTGCCAAATCCGACGCCGAGCTGGGCGTGAGCCACCTCTGGACGGACGTGTACTCCAACAACCTGGAGCCCAAACTGCGCGGCACCATCGCCTACGATATTGATCACATCCAAGAGCGCAAGGGCGTCAATCACTAAGTCATCGGGCCAACGAATCAGATTCGGGAACTCACAAGACACTAAAACGAAAGAAGGAAACCGAACACCAAACACAAATACAAATCACTGACAGACAGACACAAGCGAAATCTCTAGCTCTTAAGCCGAATGTTGAATGATGAGAACCCCGTAGACCGGAACAGCCCCGTAGAGACCCACAAAAATCTTAGCTAATCGGAGCACTCCAACCACACATCGTAGCGCACCACATTACTCTGGGGAACTGCATTGGATATTATGTTGCGAACGTGTTCAATAAGGATAAAGCGAGGTGTAAATTGTTGAAAATATACAAACCTAGAAAAATTAACCCAACTGTCGTTGTAGTTTATCACCCAAACGTGAATCAAGTGCTCTTGATATCTGGAAGATTTTAGTTTTTACGCTTACACTTGCACTACAGCTAAATTAAATATGTCACTTTATTTTTTTTGAACCACCTCGTTTCGAATTTCGAAGTTCAAAAATTTGTATTAAAAACGGAGGACTTGTTAGCTCCATAAGGTCTCTATAATCGTTATATTTCCTTCTCTTTCTGTTTTGTGACAGTTGCCATCTCTGTCGGTTTGCTTTTGACTTTATTGTCGTTTTCTATTTAGTTAAGTACAAATCCCTTTTCCAGCAATTTCCGAACATTTTCAAAATTTAAGTGTGCGGCAACTGTCCATTTGGCTAAAGGCTCATTTTGGTGTTCAGGTGTTTGGAAATCGTGATAAGGTCTAGGGACAATGATGAAGCCCTGTTACGCCCGCGTGGTGATGAAATGCAGTGGAGCCCGCTCCATTCTTGAGAGAAATATCCCGTGCAGGATAATGGGGCGCCACAAATGTAGCTGTTTGACCCTGGAGAACGTAGGTGTTTTGAATATCAAAAGGTCTTCTTAGAAAACGTCATTTGAATAATCTATATAACGTATACATATATTATATTATTATTTATAATATAACGTACACCAACACTAATTAAAGACTTATGAGGAGCAGGCTGCGGATATTTTCCAGTGTTGCACAACACATAGTAACTTAAAAAATTCTTGAATTCCTAGCAGAACATTCCCACGTTTTCTTAAGCACTTCAAATTTATACAATATATTCCTCGAGACATCGGTAAATGGGTTACTAAGTGATTTTGTAATCCCCTTTGCAGACGTTCAAGTGCTACGACCTGGAGAATGGGCCCACGATGGACGTGGAGCTGTCCAAGGATGACGCCCTATCCATGTACACGCAGATGCTGGAGTGCCGCCGCTTCGAGACGGTGGCGGGCAATTACTACAAGGAGCGGAAAATCCGTGGCTTCTGCCATTTATACAATGGTCAGGAGGCTGTGGCTGTTGGCATGAAGCAGCGTTTGAGATCCTGCGACTCCGTCATAACGGCATACCGGTGTCATGCGTGGACCTATTTAATGGGTGTTTCCCTTCACGAAATTATGGCGGAATTGTTTGGCGTCAAGACTGGGTGCAGCCGGGGCAAAGGTGGCTCCATGCACATGTACGGCGATAGGTTCTATGGCGGGAACGGTATCGTAGGTGCCCAAGTGCCGCTCGGTGCGGGAATCGCCCTCGCCCATAGCTATCGTAAGGACAATGGCGTGGCGGTGGTCCTCTATGGCGATGGTGCCGCCAATCAGGGCCAGGTCTTTGAGTCCTACAACATGGCCAAGCTGTGGTGCTTGCCCTGCATTTTCGTCTGCGAGAACAATCACTACGGCATGGGCACCCACGTGAGACGCGCCTCTGCAATGTCGGAGTTCTATATGCGTGGCCAATACATCCCTGGACTTTGGGTGGATGGCAATCAGGTGCTGGCCGTGCGCAGCGCCACCCAGTTTGCCGTGGAGCATGCCCTCAATCACGGACCGATTGTGCTCGAGATGAGCACCTATCGCTATGTGGGACACTCCATGTCCGATCCGGGCACATCCTATCGCTCGAGGGAGGAAGTGCAAAAGGCGAGGGAAAAACGTGATCCGATCACAAGCTTTCGCAGCCAGATAATCGCTTTGTGTCTCGCCGACGAAGAGGAGCTGAAGGCCCTGGAGGATAAGACCAAGAAACAGGTCGATAGCATTTGCAAGAAGGCCTCCACCGACAAGGAGGTGGAACTTCATGAGCTGCACACAGATATCTATGCCAAGAATGTGGATGGTAAGATCCGCGGCGTCTCCGGATTCCATTTGGAGCACATCAAGCTGGCGGAAGTGTGCTTTGGCAAGCCAAAGAAGACGCCGGCCTGCGAGATCAACGATGTGCCAGTGGGCGCAGCGATTGACGTGGCCAAGGCCAAGGAAAGGAAGGCCAAGCAGGATGCCAAGAAGGCCAAGGACGCCAAAGGCGACAAGAAGGGCGCAAACTCCAAGCCGCCCAAGGGTGAAGATGGCGATAAGGAGGCAAAACCACCAGTAGAGCCAAAACCAGCAGCTAAAACACCACCCACTAAGGCGCCACCTGCCCCCAAGAAGTAATGTGCACCACCACCCCCACCACCCTCCCCGAAATGGGGCACCATCGTAGCTTTTCACCAAGTTGAAAGTTTCGCAACAGTGCTTTAGCTGATTTCTGAACCCAAAAGACGCAAGCGAATTTTTGTAAAGTACGAGTATGAATCTGTTTCAATTGGCAACAGCAACCAAAATATATATTTTATATTGCATATGCCCTTTTTATTCATGTTATTTAAAGTATTCAAGTTCATGGTTCGTAGCCGCACTGCTAGTTAGGATGGTTTAGTACAAGATTATTCTGTCTAACCTATGCCTGCTTTTCAGAGCTTTTGGCCAAAGTGCTTCAGCTTCCAACGGACACCTGTGGCAGGTCGGCATTTCGTAGCATCCGCCATTTTCGCGTTCCTAGGCTGTTAATCGAGCGGATCTGGGGAGATCAGAGCGGTCCACTCATTTATCATTCGCCTAAATGGCGGTCGTGCGATGATGTCTTCTTATTCTTGGTCGTATTTCCCCAGTTCGGATCAGTTCAGTTGAGTTGAGTTGGGATGAGATGGGATGGGTTGAGATGAGAGGCACGGGCTGTGCGCCTGCTCTCTCTCTCTCTCCCCCTCTCGCTCGCACACCTGCCCGACGTCCGGGGAATATAGTCGATATGGCCGATCGGGGGATTCAGTCTCCTCGCGATGCTCTGGCGTTGATCTTCGCCGATCTTCACGTGCTTTCCGAGGTCTTTCCTGTCGCCTGTACCCTCTTTTTTTTTGATTTTTTCTTCTTCGGATGTGTTTTTTGCTTTATATTGTGCCGCGAAATTGGTTGAGTGAACCAGCATTCTCATAAAGTATGTGAATTAAATAAAAAAACATGCAAATATTTTAAATAAAGTAATTTTATTACTTTACCATAAACCATCAAAGTACAAATGTCAGTAATATTGAATATAAAATACCATCAAACTATAAACGTCAGTAATATTGAATATAAAATACCATCAAACTACAAATGTCAGTAATATTGAATATTAAATACCATCAAACTATAAATGTCAGTAATATTGAATATAAAATACCACCAAACTATAAATGTGATTAATATTGAATAATTACAACTTGAAGTGTTCAATGAAATCAATTAATTAGTGAAATTAGGCGCGCATTTAAAGCTGACATTTAATGTAAATGGCGAAAATGCAATAAAATGGCTTATTAAATCGCGGTGACAAAAGGCGGCCAGAAATCAACTGGAATAAACGTCAACTCTAATGGCACAATCAAATTTAATATTCAATTGCGTTTTTATCATAATATCTGCTGATACCGATGACTGCGTATTTGATCGCTTTTGAGCCTTTATTTAGATGCAAATATTTTGCATTCCAATTGCGTTGATGCCTTTTTATTGTACACCCCCTCACGTGGTTATTATTGTTGTGGCATAAATTCGTTTGGGCTTTCTGTGAAAAACTAGAAAAGTCCAACGGCGTGTGTCGTCAAACAATTTTCATTTGAGCTTTTTTTCCGCGTTTTTTAGTTTTTTATACATTTTGTTTGGCTTCACGCTGCTTTCATACTTAGCACACAACAATTGTGTGAGAACCAGCGCTCTTGGCTTCTTTTAAGTCCTTTCATTTATTTATAAATTCGCGCTCTTTCGTTTGCGGCACTAAAATAGTGCAAAACATTTATGTTGCCTTTATTTTCCTGTTTCATCCATTTTGCTTCAATTGTTGACCATTTGCGATGGAAGTGGACTGCAGAAATATGGAAAATTTTCAAATGACATACCAGAGAAATGTGTGAACGTTTTGAAATCATTAACTAATACTCAATGACCAATAAGACAAGAGCAATCTTTAATTGATGGATCTGCTGCCAGAACCAAAAACATAATTAGCAGCAAATATTGACGGCGAAAAACGGCAAAACAACAGAACATTAAAGCAAAACTCGATTATTCCAGGTATAAATTGAATGCATATTTTAATCACATCAAATAGTATACATCGAATGAAGTCTCATGCCTTTTCTTTTCATGATCTTAAATATAAATTTGCAGAATATATTTGAATATCGCTTGCTACTGAAGTCGAGAGCTGATCAAATACACTCAAATCGATTGAATTGTTTTCTACGCGTCTCAAGTGACATACTTGAGAAATCTTTCGAGAGATCATTCAGGAACATTTCAGATTCTTATGTACACATGTATGTACATACCCTGTGCTTCGCATTTATGAATAAATATATATAGGCAGGTATATAGCACGATCCAGGGCCAAGTCGAGTGACATTTGTCAGTATTTCCGCTACATTTGCATAGTCGGCGGGCAAGAAGAACTGGGTGGGTAAGGTGAACTGAATTGAGAAGATGCCACACTACCCGCAAAGCCGATCAAAATGCCCATTTCAATTTAAATTCCATCTCAAGACGTTTTCATGTTCCGTTTCAATTTCAATTTCAATTCGTCAATTTCAATTTCGTCAGCCAGCGGTCTGGCTAAAAAATAATGTGAAACACATGTGAGGGAAGAAATGAAACTGCCTGGGTGCGCATACATGGCGTATACTCAACGTAATTGCCACAAGAGCCAGCGCAGCTAATCCGGCATCTGATAAATATAATCAAAATTGTTTGCCGCCGTCTCGAAGTCCCCAATTGAATAATTGAACAATCTAACGCGGGATCGCCATCTCCCCAACTTTTTGAATCTCTTGAAAGAAGATCTATTCATGCGTTTTGGGTGCAGAATCGGAAGAACACTCTACTTTAGTTTGATCTTGGGATGTAGATCAAGGTGCGGATAGAGCTCTGTTAATGGTGATTTATACAATTGAAACGTGTAAAGTGATGCTTCTTGTTTGATGCTATTTAAAGACGCTTTTTGGAAGCTTAACAATGCCCTTGAATTATGTGTACTTCACAAACATTGCTTTCAAATTGAATGGAAATCGGTTTAATGTGTTTATTTTGTAAACCAATTGTAAGTGTCGAAATATTGTTTGTACATCTTGATCCTGATCTTGGCAATCCCAATGCACTACACTTATACACATAATTATTCCAATTTTTTTGATCATAATTTTCGACACGATTTCCTATCGGCGAAAAAAAAGAGAATCAAACTGATGACGCGACCTTGAGTTAAAATAGAAATTTATGCGCAACATTTATATTTATTTATTTTTGTTTCTGTTGGTCGCGATCGCCGCACGTCACCAAATGCCAACCGATTTGAATATTTTCCTTCTGAATTGTTTTGCGATGCCGCTCTTAACCCCTTCGGTGCCCCGTTTTTCGGGCACCCCTTTAACCCACCGAAATTCTTGGCCAAGAATGCAGCTGGTATCGAGCATACGGAGATAAGATCTCTGAATTCAAGTGGAAATGCATTAACATTCCGCGGCCAAGTGCACATTTGAATCAAATGAGGCGGCCAGAAAATTGAAATTAAATTGCCAGTGGAATGGGCAGAAATTGTGAGATAAAATACTCAACGTATCGCTGGATGCTGAAACAGTTTCGACCGCAAATCAATAATTTTTAACGCCTGCCTTTTGTTTGGAGGTCGATTCTCTTGTAAATATTCAACGAAAATCTGGTGAAAATGGCCAGCGTTGGCAATTAATTTTTTATGGCTTTATAATTGAAAGCCTGCCTACAATTGATCAAAAAAATATCTAGTCGGAAGGCATAAAATCCAATGATTTTGAATTTTGCAAGACCTAAGTCCACCCATCAAAACACTAAAATTTCATATATTCTATCATATAAAAAAACTGAGAAGTATTTTTAAACAAATATAAGCCACTAATGCAAATTAAAAACGAATCCATTTGAAGTCTTCTGACAACGACAACATTTCTGGCAATTAGTTAACCACACATGGCAGGAAAATCATTTGGGCCACATGCGTATAAAGCCATAAAAAGTTGATATAATTGTGGGAATAACAGAGGCAAACTGTGGTAAATAAGCGAAAATGCAATTTAGAGAATGACAATATTATTTATTTAATTTGTTGTGCTCGTACCAAAAATAGATGGGTAAAAACAACAAGCAGGCGAAAAGAAAACGCCAGAAAGGCCCAAGAAATGAAAACCAAATCACGAAAATCGAGAGGCGAACGTGACAAAAAGATACAGATACAGCAGCACAGAGCCAGAAACAAACTAATGATTCTAAGAACAACAGAGCAGTGAAAACCCAAATAAAGAGCAGCAAACGACGCACAGATGACAGAAAATATCAAATCAAATGCATTCATCTGGCAGGTGGAACATGACAGGAAAGCTGAGCAAAATGTGCAAAATGCCAGCGAGAAATAGAAGGGGTTTTCTCTCGGTGTGTGTGTGTGTTTGGGGGAGCTTGGGGCATGTGACATGGGGCATGGGGGCGGGGCGCGGGTTGGAAAAGCCATATCCATTAGCAAGTGGACACTCAATCAGCAGCCGTCTAATGACGAACCCCTCAACGAAAATAAACAACCGAAAAGCGAGAGGAAGTACTAAAACCTCTGACAGCCATGTCTCTTAACCCAGAAAGAGAAATCGGAACGGCAGGGCGAAATCTTCGGGCTCAGTGACTCAGACGAGGCGAATTTTCCACAGGTACTTGGTACAATAAAAAATCTATTATAATTTTGACAGACGAGATCCGTTTCGAAGAATACTGTATATGTGCTGCGCAATCAACAAAAAATGGAAAGGCAGTCTGGCAAAATCATCAAATTAATGATCAATAAATACGTCATTTAATTGCAAAATAAATAAATACAATTTGCAGCTGAGTCAATTTTTGTTTAATTTTATTTTTAATTGAATTTCGAATTTATGGCCCATTAATTTGATGCGTTTTCTCGTTAAAATTGAATATAAGCCAATTAAATAATTAATGAGCACCTTAGTTTTGGAAAATGCAAAACTCAAATAGGTAGACTGATAATCGGATAATTTTTCATTCATAAAGATGTTTTCATTTGGGAACACTGCTGATTAGTAAGATAATAAAATAAATATTGAACCATTTAAACAAATTGCCAAGCATAAAATTACAGATACGTCTCGGTTGTCCATTCAACATTAGACATTTTTGCGCAATTTAAGTGTTTTTATGCCATTCCCGTCACGTAATTTGCCTGAATATCGAATGGCCGGCGATAAAAACGCATCGAGTCAAATGGCAAAATGGAAAATTGAAATGCAATAGGGCACTTAACGTTAAGCATTAAATAATTGACATGTCCATGTCGCTGGGCAAACAAAGTGCATATCAAATTAAATGTTAACCGCCACGTTTGCCCGTTCATTTCTAGGCCTACACATGTATCTAAAGAATAGATGTCCACGTACACCCAGCTATACATATGCATATGCGTATGTATATATTTATATATGTCATGTCGAAGCACGTGCGAGGCTTAAAAATTGTATTCAGAAATGAAAATGAAACGAGCGCAAATCACATGAGCAAAATTTATGCACGTGACGCCTGCGAATTTCCCCATTTGCCGAATGAAAGGCTCTAAAATCGCAGCATTAATTGATTAATTATGCAAATTCAGATGTCATGCTGACAAAAATATCAAAATTCTGCGCACTTTGAATGGCCGCAATATAAAATTACAAAGCGGTCCAATTCCTTTTATAAATGTGAAGCAGTTATGCCCCAGATTTTTATCCTTTCATTGGTATATCTAATGGGTTTGGGGAATGATGAGTGAATTTATTAAAACATATTGCACTTTAGGGAATTTTTTATGACATTCTTGTGACCTTTGATCCTTTTGATATTTTCCATTGCGTGTGACAAACACAATGCTCGTGAAGCTATTTTTTTTCTGTAAAACAAAGTAAGTCTTTTATTATACTCAAAGTTTCGTGGGCAAACAGAAACAGAAGCAAACTGCTTATTAATTAGGAGAACTATGTATAAAACCAAGCATAGCCATATCTTTTCCGTCCTCATGGAAGAGTATCTGCCGGTCTTGGTTCGAAAAAAAGTCCGAAAAAGCATATAAAAAAGGCAAACACACACAGATTAAACAAGGTATGGGAGTAGGAAAATGTTTGCCAAAGCCGTCAGACATTTAAACATAAACAAACACGCACGCTAATTAAGTGCCCATCGTGCCTTATACTGTGTTCACCTGTGCGTATACGTAATTAATGCCATTATAATCTCTTACGCATAATAAAGTAAACAAGGCTAAAAACGTGCAAAATGATGCCAAAAAAATGGTGACACCGAATGTGGACCAAGTATTTAATTAATTGTCACCGCATTTTATTCAGTTTTCGATTTCATTTCAAGCTCAAACGATTAAATATCATAAAATCGCCAGCAGTGCGTACACGTAACTTTCGTTTATGTCACGTGAAGAGGAAAATGGAAAAGCGAATAATACCTGGCGATATTTCCGCCTGTTTAACTGACGCTAAAAATACACAGTTTTTAATTCTGTTTGCCTCCGTCAACACCTTTTTTTTCTCGTTGAAAGCTTACAAATATTTGCAATTCGTGTTTATTATTTCTTTGGGGTTTCGCTGCTTTTCTCCGAGTCTCGCTGGCCATTTTTATGAGCTACATCACAAAATGTTGTGCTTCTCGGCGCCCTGTATACTTATTGTTTATAAACAAAACGCCCAATTGACTGGCAGCCAAATGATGGCTAAATAATAATAAAAAAAGCAGTACTATGGAAACAGCGTCTACAAATGGATTGAAGCAAATTCGGTGTGTGTTGACCACATGCCAAGTCCAAGGAAATAATGTAAAACTAAACAAAAGGCGCAGCGAAATGGAAAAGCGGCAGGTGTGGTGACAATGCGATTCTACCGAATCCTATTTACAATACCAAGCTATTTCTGGAAATTTCGAGATCCAAGGGCATCACACAATTTTGCAAAGCAGGATAATAAATATTGCAGAAATATTGCTTTTGTTTTCCCCAGTTAAATGCC